CCTTTTGGTTTTGTTTTCCTGCTACCTCTGACCTTGCCTTTATGAAACCTGCTTCACAACATATGATTTGAGCAAAAATGAAGTTCCTTGTGTAGCAGAATACGAGTTTCATGCAGTGTAGATGAGAATGCTGTTGTCTCATTTAAATAATACCTCTCAATAAGATGTTCTCTGAGAAAGCAAGGAGAAATAATGTTTTGTCTTTAAATTATTGGCCAAAGACTGTTTTCTGTATGATATATAGAAACTGTAAAGAAATGCAATCTATTTGGAGTACTTTTGTCAAGGCAAACAGATCTTAAGTTCTCTGTACAATTTTCAAAAACATTCCTCAGCAACCTAGAGATACAAAATGTTTTCATATCACTACTGATGAAAGGAGCCTTAAAAAGGAAAAGAAAAGAGTTCTCAACAAACTGAAAAGAGACCTGAAATCATTATTGTAAATATCACTAACAATCAATTAATGATATCTGAAATAAATGTGCATAAAGGAAACCAATATAGAAATGAAATAAAATACAGCTAATACACCCAAAATTGTAAAATTGTTTTAAGAAGAGCCTTTCTCATTACAGCTGAATGTGATTTTCCAGATAAAGGCATTGTAATATGACCCTGTGTGCTATTCTGTGTGTACAATAAAGCAAGCAAAATTAATCCCTTCCCCTGATGACCTCTAGAAATGAAAACCCATTATAGTAATATTATTTGTACTGAGGCCTTGATGTTTTTGTGCTGAATCTGAGTGCCATGAAATGATTGTATACAGTGGCTGATGAGGACACATGTACAGATAAATACATAAATAATCCTCTTTATATAGGTGCAAGGTGACTTTTTAGATCTGGTATGGAAACTAGTTGAAGCCTAATAAAAATGGTAAATCATTTTCTTTACTGCTTAGGCCTGAATCTTATTATGTTGAAAGGTCTATTAGGAATGTTTCCCTTTTTAACATGGAATGTATGTAACTGGATATTGTGCACAATTTTCCTGTTTGTAAAACTTGAATTAAGCATTGAAATTTCTGCCTAAGTTACTGGTTTTGGTATTTGCCAAAGTATATACGATATCAAATACTATAATACATCTTTGTTACCAGTCTGTGGTTCGGTTAGCAAACCCCACTTAAAGGGTAAAAGATCTTTTAAAAAACAACATTATTTAGCTTGGAACAGGAATCAATACTCCATATGATATGGTAATGAAACACAGACTTTGCAACATATTGATGGACAGTGAGAAAGTGTGTGTGGTGAGGGGAGTGGGTGTATTTGTGTGCATGTTGGAGGGACCACAATAGTATTAATAGCCTGTAAAGGAGGTTTCTGACATTTGGTAAACACATGAGCACGACACAGAGCACAATAGGAACTACAGTTCAGACACAATGATACGCACATTGCTCTGGAACGCCATTAAGTACGTGTAAGCTTTCTTCTGTCAGCATTTGTATTTTCACAGGATGTAGTAGCAAAGCATTGGCTTTGTGGAAAAGAAGGTCTAAAAAGACGTCCACATATTGTTTTACTATTCTGCTTTACATTTAATGTTTATGTATCTTTCTGATGTGGGCTGTGCATTCAAGGCAGTCCAGTTTTGCACAGTCTGGCTTTCTATTTGTCTAAGTGGTAATAAATTCCCATTGATCAGGGCTTAGTGGAAATTAGAACACCCTCCATGTGCCTCAGTCAGGGAAGCTGCTCCCAGCAGACTCTCACTCACATTAAAAGCCCACTGGAATGTTTCAGAATAGTTGGTGTTGCTGCATATTACTTCACAATGTCAATACCAGAAGGCCTATTGATTTGGATAGCTTTCTTTAAATAAAATAAATTCTTTAGTATTTGAAAATAGTAAAAATGGCAACCAGAGCAAAAATAATGCTACTTTCTTATGCTGTCCATCAGCTTGGGAAAGCCTTGAATTATTGTACACTGTATTTTTTTTTCAAAACCATATACTATGTGTTGTGATTTCAGTATATTAATTGTAAATATTTATAAATGTAGACTTCATCTGATTAAAAACCCTTGAATTTATTAATTGTGTTTTATTTCAGATTAAGATTGGGAATTCTTTTAAGCAGTGTGTATACGTGTTTAAAGAAAGTGACCTGAGAAAGATACAGACACATGCAAAACTTATCTGTCTTTCAGACCTGTACCACTCAATATTGGTTATGCAGCAGTGGCAGAGAAGATATGAAAAGGTCTCTTTCTAATGCTGAGTTCCATATGAATGTAAGAAGACTGCTAAAAAGTAAGAGAGAGAGGAGATATGAAAGACAGATATAAATTTGAAGGCAATATATGCTATGGTAATACCTGCACACATGAAACTTCATAATTATTAAATACCTAAGTCAGTTGCTTAAATCCATATTATAAGGAACTAGAAGTCAAGATTCATCCATATGACATAAAGATTGCCAATAAAGATTTGGCTTCAGAGGTGTTGTTTTTTTTTTTTTCCTAAAGAGGTTAGGAAGGCTGCAACTCAGGTATGTATCTAAGTGTGCCATATGTCAGGATGAATATGTCATCTCTAAATCAGTAGTTTATAATCTAATAGTATTTCCAGTATTTTTACTCAGATTGTTTCCCACCCCTTCTTCTATATCCATTTTCCTTTTCCTGATCTTTCAGGATCCTTCCTGGTATTTGCTCATCCCTGCGTGTATGAATTGCTGTCAGTAGTTGATGAAGGCTATTGAAGGGACAAAGCTCCTTGGGATGGGTGAGAATATGTGGCTGTTTTTGCCTGGGCATTCCTCTTCAGCATCCTTCTGAAGCTCTACTTCACTGCTTTCAAATCCTAGTACTACTCTATGAAAATAATGCAGCTTTCTCTTCTAGCTCAAAATGTTGTTTGTTTTTTTTTTCAAGAACAGCATCAGTCATGCACAACCAGTTAAATGAACACTTGTATTCAAATAACTTACTGATTATGCAAAACAACTCTGCCTGTTACGATACACATACAGTGCAGAAAATTGCTGTGTTATTTGGACTGCTTTTCCCGTCACAATGAAACATACATCTGCTTACAGCTAAAAGTCCAAGGGCCTGATTTAGTAAAAATTAGTGATCCATCAGATTGATGGGCAATCTGCAGTCTTGGTGCCTTGAAATTTCTTGCATCAGTCACCAGATCATGATTTACTAATAGGGTTTCAGGGCTTGCAAAATAGCACAACTCTAACCACATATTAATATTTAATCTGGCATTTTAAGTGCACCTAACAAAAGACCCCAGAGCTGCTGACAGGACCCTACATTGTGAATTTCTTTAAAAGGAATTGAGCATTTCCATAGTGGTTTCATGTGGAAATCTGAAACAAGAAGAAATACATGACTTACACCCTGCTCATGATCTTACAAGCTTCCGAATATCTTTTCTTTAAAAAATGTCTATAATCTGGGGGGTTTTTTTTTGTAATCTAGTTTCATTAACATATGACAGAACTTCCTTTGGCCATTTCACTGTCCATAGCTCGTGACTGCAGAGAAATTTCAAAATTCATTTCTATACCGTGTGCAATTAGTCTGTTCTTTTGATGCTTGATCCACGTGGCAACTCTAGTAAGGTACTATATGAGGTTAAAAATGTATAAGTCACAAAGACCTCTTTAAAGCCATGAAATTTAGCAATTGAATCTGCACAAACTTAGTAAATTGGGCCCTCTGTATTTTGTATAGCATTTTAAAGTAGCCAAAATAGGCAAGAAGCTGAATTACATATTGACACTGTTTCTACCATTTCTACCATTTCATAGTTTAAATAGAGTAATGGAGTGATTTAATAAGCATCTGCTGCTGCTGTCAGATGAATATTCTAATTTTACAAAATATATATAGAAAAGCATGTCTAGAAAAGCGTTTATTGTTTTCTTCCATTTTCATATGCCATAATTTATGAAAGATGTTCCCAACACCACCTGTAATAACAGAATGTTTATTAGTGTGCAAATGAGGGTTATAAATGATGCTGCTGATCTATGGAACAAAACACAAAAGACAACTTATTAGCAAAAGACAAATTGCTCAGCAAATTTCAATGAGCTGCTATGTTTGTCATGAAAAAAACCTTTTATTTGCACAGATCAATGTTTTTATAATCCATTTAAAATAATATACTTGCCACTAGGTGGCTATTTCTGATCAGATCATTTTACCATTTTAATTACATTTTTAATATCCTGGCTGCATAAACAAAGATAAATTACAAGCCTTGTACAATCTGGCTGCTAGCTCAGGCACAATCTGTAATAATATCAGCTTTTGTTTGTGCCTCCTCTAATTAGATTCTGAAATCTAGGCTTTATCAATCAATAATTTTAATTTCAGAATTGCCTTTTGATCTTACATTTCATGTTTGTTTGCAGAAAATGATCAGTAGGACAAAGCTGATAATTTATGCAGAAACAATCTCTCAGCAGAGTTACAAGCGCATTCCTAGCCATCAACACAACCCGGCAGACTAAGCTTGACACAGGTCTAATTAGCATGCAGATATGTGTCGCCTCATTGGCAATTCAAATTGCTTTTTTATAATGTACCTCAAATTGTGCTACTCAAACATTGTATTTGATTTCCAAAGCCCCCTGGGCATCCCATAATGTCTCCCTTCATCCTGGGTACGAAGCATTTATTGAACAATCTGTTTCGATTCTGGCTATCTTTTCGAAAGCACCCAAACATCATAACCATGGGACCAGGTTTTCCTCCTCATCCGAGAGCAACTTGTTCTTCTTTGGAGTGGCGAGTGCCACATCCGTAGGTTCGGCGATGATATGTTACCTTGTGAGCTCCTGCTCCCACGGTGGCTGCACTATAGAGGGCTTCATTCCTGTGCCACTCATCTAAAAAGGGGGAGGATGTCTACAGAGCGCACATTAATATGCGGCACATAACCACGTCTCTGAATGCCAGCCTTCCATTCTTCATTAAACAAAATGGCTGGATTGCAGTGATTGTTTTCCCCTCCACGCGCGCGCGCGCACAGGCACACACACCACGCACACAGGCACATACCCACACACCCCCCACATGCACTCTGGCTCTCTCTCCTTTTGTCCCTCATGCACACGCACTCACACACACACACACACTCTCACACACACACACGTAGCGTGTTGGTGCAGCGAGTTACGTGTGAAAAGTTATCTGCGGCATGCGTGACACGCGAGGAGATTCCTGCCAACGTCAGGGCCCTTTTTTGCCATGCAGCAACAAGTGGCAGAATCAATGGTTGTACAGTTATTCAGCAATGTAATTCATTTCACTGGCTTTGGCTCCCAGCCAGATCCGCCATCTGTCTCTTGCTCTCCCTCTCTCTCTCTCGCCTGAATTTGTCCTACATTTCGTAATGTTACGTGCTTGCCATCCTTATTCTATGTCAGAGGTACAGCACGAGCCTCACCCCCGTTCCGACGTGGAGTTCTGTGAGTTCGGTGGCACTTTGGATATTCCACTCCAGTGCCATAGGAAGAAAAGGGTAAGGAAAGAACAGAGGGATAGCTGCAAAGAGAATGGTGCTCTTCTATCTGAAAGCCAGTGCCTCCGCTTTTTATTTAAAGCATTGATATGGATCTGTCTCACATGGGAACTTTTCCTGCTTCGTTAGAGTATCTTCGTTTTCTTTATTGGATGCTGGCACTGTACGCCACTGCACAGCTCCGTGGAATGCCTGCTGTTGGATACTTGCAGATCCCTGCCACCAAGCAACCTCCTGCACTGGAAATCGGGTGACTACTCCAGGATCTTATGCGTGCTTGCTGTTTGAAGCTGCAGAAAAGTGAATAATCAATTAAGTATTGATTTCTTGTAAGATTTGGTAAATTTCAAAGGCGAGACAAAGAGGATGGCTTAAGGAAAGCACTGCAGGGACTTGGCGTAAATTAGACAACTAACAGCAGTGCAGAATAAAATAACACCTCAACTGAATATTTCCTTGGAAGAATTAGCACTAGCTATTGGAAGACGATGGTGGATTTAATCAAGACGGCAGGCACGCTTGAGTTTTAACCGTGAACCTGAAAGAGGAGCTAATTATAACCACCTTTTTATATGGAGCTAATTTGACTGAATGGATGCAAATGTGCTTTATTTATGGATGAAGAAGCAAGCCTTACAGCATTGACTTTGGGATCATCGCATATGCTAAGCTTTACAGCTTCTTTAAAAGTCAAGCCTACAGTACATTTTTATTTACTGAGAAGGTATTTATATGTAAGCATAAGCTAGCCGTACAAAAGATTCATCAGAACAATGTACTGTGTGGCACCGAGGATCTAATTATAATTTTGCAGCATTTCATGTTTTCTCTAATTTGGTACTTTTCAACCCTCGCTTGTGATGGGCTATAAATGGGACAATAAATGTATGATTTAAACTATTGTGATTTTCATTGTATAGTTTATTAATCGTACTGTAGTTTTCTTAACGTGTTTTTGAATTATTCAGCAGTAATTTATAATGAAAGAAGCAGAAATGGTGGGGTGGTTTTAAATTCATTTATAATCTCACAGATCTAAATGTACAGGTTCTACCAGCCGATGAGCTCTATAATTATGAAAGAATGTTAAAATTTTCAGATAAATGGGGCACTGACTTTACAATGGGCATAATATTGTATAATCAGTAAAAGGAGGATTGTTATGTTTTGACTCTGTGGAGAATGGTCTTGGGTAGTTAACTCCTTCTATGCTGATAATGATAAGCAAATGTACTTTATATAAGAACATAGTGGGAGAATGTAATGCACTGGTTTGATGTTTTGCTAGTCTGAAACCTTAGCATATTTTTTTTTTTCATTTATTTCCATTTCTGTTACTTTTCTTTTTCCTATTTGCTTCTCTGGGTTTTGTTGAGGCTTTTTTTTCCTCCTGTCTTGCAATCTACATTCCCTGAGCAACCACAGGAACCAAGTTACATTAAGCTTCAACACAAAGACGATGTAAGAATAATGAATCCTCATTTGCATCGACATTTGTATTCAGATTTGCCAGGCTATAAACTTGGCAGATCAAGCGGAATATTAAGTAGAGGCTTCCATGGTAAATTGCGACTCTTGCAATTGCTGAGTCGTTTTTCCTATTTTTTGCATGTGTGTGTGTATATGTGTGCATTTGTATATGTTTGTGTGTGTGTGTGTGTGCATGTGTGTACGTGTGCATATCTGTAGTCGCAGGTGAAGTCTTATGACTACTTGGTTTTTGAGAAGCACATTGGCCCTCTTTCTCTTTCTGTATATGATGTCAGTTTATGCAAAATGAAGCAGGAATACTCAAGCAGTGAGCATTTTAGTTGAAGATACAGTGTGACATATGAATTAAGTATTCACTTGCTTTTCTAGAGACTGTGTGAAAGAATTCCTTAAACAAATAGATAAACACTATTGCAAAATTACACAGATCTTTTGCATCAGCTAGTGGCTTGATTTCACTACATCTAGAATCCAAAGCAAAAACTCTGAAGTAGTGTTGAACATACCTGCTGCATTTTACTGTTTTATTTGTGGTGGTGCTGCATGTATGCATGTATGCTTCCGTGAAAAACTTTGGCCTTGGTGCGCCTACCATCAGCTGCTCTTCGCTATGGTTTGGTTGGATTGTCTCCAGCTTTACAGCAGTATGTGCAAGAGCTAAGTTGGCCCTTCTCTTCCAGAGTTGGATATCAAACCTTTTCCTTCACTGATATTTGCTGAAGAAAAGGTGGTCCTACATAATCCATTTTCTCAAGAAAGAGGAAACCTCTGGATGAACCTCTTTCAGAATTAATAACTGCAAAAATGGAGCATTTACCTTATAATTCTCCTGTTTAATTTTGTATTTTGTATTTTAATTTTATTTCAGAAGTAGTGAAAAAAATGTTCAGTCAACAAATGCTAAAAATGTTTCAAGACTCACTTTTACTATCCATAGATTTTCAAATATTGCAACAAAATCCTCTGGAGAGAACTTAAGAGTGACACTGAATTAGGCAATGCAGGAAATGATCAGGCATGCAGAAAATACTTCCAGTCTCTTCTTTTTGCATGCATCCCCTTCCTACCACTTCCATAACCACAGACCTAGCAAGAATGTCACTACAGTCCACAGTGTGTGTTTTCACAATTTGTAGTTGACTTCTGTGTTAAAAATGAACTATTATAGAAAAAAAAAAAAAAAAAATGGAACTCATTCCAGTCCTTTCTAAACAAGTCAAAGGACTGATTTTAAAAACTTAATCTGTTGATTTTCATTTAGCTAATCCATTGAAAATCAAGTGCAATGCAATGGCTGAACCTGTTGTAAACAATATTATACTCTATAAGTATTGGCTACAATTTCAGCTGAGAAAACTCTATCAGCTTTGCTTTCTACAAAAACACACAAAACCCTAATACTGTTTTGATTTACTTTAATTTTGTTTTTAGACTATAATGGGATAATTGATCATGCAGGAAATGGTCTGTTGTAATGCAGCGTTCACTGAAGGAGGAGGATGATGCTCTGTTCATGTAGAACAGCAACCTGTGGCAAGCAAAAGCAACTATGCATCATTACTTGTTTGCTATTTTTGAGAAGCTTCATAACTGTAGTCTTTTATTATGGATGAAAAAATGGAATATGGTCTTTCCTTCCTTTGAAAGAGTATTCTGAACTACATTTCCAAAATGGTGCTTAAGGTAAAAGGGAAAGGTAGAACTTACAAGGTATGTTTCCATACTTTGCTTCCTTATGCACATCATCTTGATGAAATTATATAAAACTTTGTTGTTTGGGTTATTATATGTATCTCCCACTAATTGTTTTGAAAATTTACCTTAAAGCAGCTTTAAAAGTGTCTTTTTCTGAGAAAGGAGAAACAATATCTCAGTAGCTTTCATAAAAAAATAAAAAAAACATTTTAAAAAATTGAAAATATATTTAAGTTCCAAATTTATAAGGAATAACAGATTGATAGACTGCAGTGTTTTTGTTAGACAGGAATTTGCAATAGTCATTCACTACGTGAATACTTTGAAAAATTAATGCCTTCGGGAGTTTCTTTGTCTCCATAAAAAATTCCCCAATTTCTTGCTCTTTGACTATAGAACCCAAAGAAAGGAGAGATGAATGAAAAGTACTGTAGGCTCCAAAAAATGTATCATATTCACTGAGAAAAAGATAAAAACACCTGGAGAAAAAAAAAGGAAGGTGAAGCTAATGTTTCCTGGGAGAAACTCCAATCTGTTGTCTGGCCTTTTATGTGTACAGTGTTGTTGAGTAAAACACTGTAGTGCAAGATATTTAAAAAATGTAGTGTGTGATGTATATTCACCACCACTGGACAGAGTGATGGCAGGCAGTCAGTGCAGGCATAGTATGTGGATGCTTTAGGAGGAAACTCAAGGCCTGTTACAGTATTTCAGTCTAGCTCATGATGTTGCTAAAGAATTTAGGATTCCAACAATACAGAGCTCACTATATATAGCAAGGGTCAGATCTGCTGGCCCATAGCATTTAAAGGGAAGCTATAATTTTTTTACCATTAGTCCTCTGATCAAAGATCCTTTTGTGTAACTTACTGCTGTGATGAGTATCACTCAAGTTTTGTATTTCTTACTGGCAGCTTGGTTGTCTGTTTCTCTCATTGGCGTGAGCTTATCTTGGGACTGAACTGTAAGTTTTCTGCATCTGCAGGAATGTAGTTTCTTAAACAGCATTTTTCAGATTATTTTGTGCATTAAACAGCTTTTTGAACTTGGAGAATTTAACTGTATCTCTTATATAACCATTTCCACTTCAAGTTTCTGGTTTTTGGTTAAGACAGAAATTACTTTTTAAATGAGCAAATATATGCAAACCAGAGAGTAGAAGAGATAACAGATTGAGACTCAGAAGTGGCTTTTGCATTTATCATTTTTATAAACTATAAGACTTCTTTCCAAGGTGAAACACCTGTTCTCCTGCTTTATGGTTCCTTCAGTGGTATGTCTTTTGAGACACCAAATCTGTAATCCCTGTGCACATTTCAGTAATTTACAACTAAAAATTGAATATTTTGTGCAAGATTTTCTAGTTTTGCTAAAGACTTTGGTGCAAAAGTGTAATCCACTGAAATGTGCTGTATGCCCTACTTTGGCATCCAATAAAAAGTTCATGTTTTCCTTAATAAAATAAATATACTTTCAGTATCAACAGCTTTCACATGGCAATCCTTTTAATTTAATTGCCAGAACTGAGTTATCTATTTTCAATTTCAAGCTGTCCTTCAATTACTAGAGACAAAATTTTAAAGACTATAAATATTGTTAGATAATGAATAAACTGGATATATACAAAATTTCCTCAGACCTGAGGTCCTTTTTTGTGGTTTCTTACTTAGTGAATTTTATATCAAATCACATTGCAATCCTGTAATTTGTGTTTATATAGGATCTAGCATAATAAGATTCCAGTGTTGATCACTATCATAGCATAAATAAGCCTAGAAATGCATAGTTTTAGACAATAGAAAAGCTTTCCAGGGTGGCTGTTTATTTGCATAATCAACACTGTCTCATTTAGTTTAGTGGTTACTGCTTTTGGCAAAATTCTGTGGTCATTAATTGTGCTTTGAATTTCATTGGGAATTGTGCTTAATGAGAACAGATTTTAATGCAAGGTCAGCTCTGTGAAAACCATACCAACCCATGCTTCATTATTGTCACAGTGAGTCGCAGAACAAACAACATAGAAATCACTTCATTCTGCACTGAACTTGGCCAGATCTAGGGTTGAATTCAACACTTTGGTAACAAAACTCACCAGCTGAGCACAGGGGAAGGCTGAAGAAAGGAGAATCTAATTTTTGAATTTTAGGTTATTACAGGTTAGAGATGGGAGAAAATTTCTGTGCAATGGAGGAACAATACTGGATGTTGATAAAACAAGTGCAAGGAGATGGGAATTGAAACAGTGTTTTTGCTGTTAACCTAATGTCCATAGTTAAGAGAAAGAACAAGATGCAGAACACAAATTCTAGTCATTGCAACTTGCAGTGTATAAGTACCAGTTTCTCCTGGATTCATAATTTACATTGGAACCTGCAATGAATCATGGCACGTAGAAGTGGTCCTAGGCTGCAGAAAATAAATCTAATGACACACCAGCTATTACTAATTTAGGACTGCCTGCTTCTGCTCTCAGTAATGTAAGTGGGAGGTTTTCTATGAACTACACTGGGAGCTGTATTTGGGCTTATTCACAATACACTGAAGTTGCTTTTGCTGTACTATGCCACAGTCATAAACACTCAATAGGGCATTTTAAATATCAGAAAGTATTCTGGAGCCATATTCAATTTAAAGTTTTTCCAACCTGACATAAGCATTTTCTTAATAATAATTAGCATAGAAGTTGATCCTTGCAGTTTAGAAAAGTATTTGATTTTTCTTTTAAAAATTGAAGTTTTTACATATGAATTGTCTAGATAACAAACATAATTTCCTCTTAAGCACTTAAAAATATAAATAAAATGCTGCAAAATAGAGGTTAAAAAGGATCCAGGTACAAAATGTATCTTCTTCATCTTATATTTTTCAAATTCAAATCAGATTTTCCTTACATTTGTGTCCCAGCAAACCAGTAAATTCCCCCCTGAAAATACTTGCAGCCAAAATGATCCTAATGAATTTTGAAGCCACAGTAAAAACACATGGGGATGAGCTGATATTCCACTGATGTCTTTCAGACTCTTGACAATAAATGCATCCAGTACACCAAAAGATAGAAGGGAGGGATATGTTGAAGCTGTTGGCCAGAAATCTGATTCTGGGGGGAGGAGAAAAGTGAATCAGAGCAGACCCACACATGTTGTTGCATCACAGAAAATGAAGTGGGGAGTCCTAGCAAAAGAAACTTTCCCCATAGGTCCACTTAGATACCACAGGTAGAAGGAGACAGCAGTTTTTTAGGGAAGTATTACAAAAATGCAAGACAAAACCGAGCTTTACAGTACAGGAAAACATTATTTACATTGTTCAGCAGTGCACAAAATACTTCCTAGAATCAAAAACTGAGATTTTTTACTCTGTTTCCACAGCTTCACAAATTTTCTCAATACTACTTTGTATTGAACTTTCAGCAATATTCTGTATGATTTTTAAGCTTCTACCATCAAAATTGTTTTCCATTTCTCATACATACTACTTCAACAGCGTTTCTTCTTATACATAATGACTAGTACTGTCTGGACAACCCGCTGAAAGTGTTTCAGAGTTTCTCAGCAGGATGAAAGTTAAAAACAGAAAGAAGTTGTAATCTTCTTGATTATTTGCAGGGAGATCACAAATTGAGGAAGAAGGTTATCTTGTTCTCAATAAAAATGAAGGATTGTGAAAAAATATTGCTTAGCATCCTGTGGGGGGTTTTAACAAGTCACCTGCTAGTTTTATCTCAGTTATGGATTCCAATCTTTTGTTCAGTCATTTTGTTCCAAATGAGTCTAAGTTCTGGTGTTTCTTATTAATTGCATTTTCTTTCCAATTTATGTTTTAATCTATTTCTACAGCAGGACACGTCCAGATGTTTAGTTTTGTGAAGTGTTAAGCGTCTTAAGCATATGGAGATCCTCTGACCTGAGTACCACATAGGCTTTGCTTAAAATACCTTAGTATTTTTTGAAGACTCAGTTAGCATGTTCCATATAATTAAAAACAGAGTACAGTGATGGTTATTCCTGAGTTTTGCTTTTATTGGCATTTTGCATTAAAGCAAAAATAAACCCCTAATGAACTAAATCCAAGATTTTGAGTCTGGCCAGTTATTTCTGATTTTTTAAATACAGATTGGTGGTGCTCGTTTAAAAGAGTCATGACTGACAGTACTTTCAAAAATCAGGCCTCTGACCCAGCTGTTGAAAATGGCAGTCTTCAAACTTTAACTTTCATTTTGAAAATATCAACTTCAGTCAATGCTGCATTTTAAATTACAAGTCTTATTTCTTTAGAAAAACAAACCATAACTTATGCTGAAGTTATCTTATCGCAACCCCCCCCCCCCCCCCCAAACATTAAACTGGTTATAGTGTTTATTTTGCAGTAACTATATATTGGTGTGCAATTACAATGAAGATTTCTGCTACTCAGGCTGTTAATATTGTAGGAAATGCAATGCAGAGAAATGCAGCAGACACAGTTCCTATTTCTACCCCAGAAAGGGCAATACTAGACAGAGCTGGCTTCAGCAGTGTTATAGCCAATACAAAAAGGGAGGAGTTTCTTCACTTCAAAAGAAGAAAAAATATTATCTTTTTATCATCAAATCATTTAGAAAAGAAACCACAGGTGGGAATCCTGAAAGCTTACATGAGTCAGAAAGGTCAAAAACCAATTTCTGACTTGTTGAAGACACCCTCCTGGTTCTTTGAAGTGTGATTTTTTTTTTTTCTAGTGGTATTCTTGGCCAGCCAGGCAGCTTATTAGACAGTCAGACTGCTTCATGTGACTATTCTAAAGACTGTGTTGGCTTCTTATTTGCACCACTATTTAGTTTAAGGCTTTATCTGTGAAGGTTATTTAGTTTGTATTTGGTGATATCTCACAGCCCTAAGATTTGCAACTTACAAGCATGCCTTCCTCTGTAGATCTTCAAAACATGGTGGGAAACCTTATAATTTTTTTTAATGAAGGTGCTCACTTACAGAAAAAAAAAATGCCAATTAACATTTTAGAGTAGGGATATGCTTTTGAATGTCTAACTGTAATATGACATGGCCAAAATAGTATACTTGGTAAAACTGTCAATAATTGCTAAGTCAAAAACTGTTAATAACTGCTAAGTCAAACAAATATTTCTAAATAATGCAACTAGTCTAAGCATTAATTTTTGTATTGCATCTCCAAGAATTTGTCTCCCAAAATATGTAGCATATCTTACATTGTAAGTAAAGCAAATGGAAAGAGAAGATTGAAAATAGATAAGGGGGAAATAATTTGATACCCTGCCACTTGACAGCAGTCACACTTCCCATGTCAAATGGGATAGATTTTTATTCAGAAAAATTACTTTTTGGAAGGAACTGGGGGAGGGGCAAAATAAAACATGTTTATTAACAGTTATAATCCTGATACTTCACCTAAATACCTTACAAAAAATGGAGAAAAAAAAAAACTAAATTTAAAAAATATTAAAAATACCACAAAGATAAAATCTCATGAATTTTTAAAATATACATTAATGATTTTAGCAGCATGTTTCTGTAACATCTGTAGGAATCTGTAGCATCTAACAGTAAACAGGACTGGGGGAACATTCAGTGCTAGACAAGGCTGAGTCCTGAAAGGCAGCTTGCATTTTTGATTTAGAAACAACCTTCCTTCTATCTGGACCTGACTGAATCAAGCTATTTTTCTTACTTGAATATCCTTTTCTGAGATCCACTTTTATCTTGAAGTAGAACTACACCATTTGTAAAGGGGTGAAATATCTGACTACAACTTCTAGTTTCAATTTTCTTTATATGAAGCATTCAGAAATCTGTCCCTATTCATAATTCTTATTTCACTAAAATTTTACCTTGAACATAAAGATTTTGTATTTTTACTCTAGACATAGTAGGAATAAGTTTAGTATGAGCTAGTATGTTGCTGTTTTATTAGAAAAGGATGTATGATCTGTTGACCAGAAGCTGCTGTGGTATCAATTGCAAATAACCTAGTGAAACTTGGAAGAAAAATACACACAATCTACTTCCCTGAGAGGAAAAGAAAAAAAAAATTTAAAAAAAAGAAAGAAAGAAAAACCAAAACTTACTGGATTTCAGCTGAAGGTTTGCAAATCATTGTGTGAAATACTAACCTTTCATTGCACTCAACAGATCAGAGTATGTGACAGTATGAATCTTCTAATCAAGCTGCTTAAAACCCTCAGGCCGTGTCTTGACAATACAGTAAATCTTACTTCAGAGCTCTTGATCTAGGACTGGAAATGCCACAGCCACGTGATGCAAAGCATTCCTTTGGTACACAACCATTACTATGTCATTACTATGTTTGTACGAGCAGGCTATTGTTAAAGGTGTCTATTTTCCTCCTACAGGTGACTTGAAACCCCTATAAGAGAAGAAAGATTGCATAAATGCTATACTGCATACTTTGACCAGTTCAGCAGCAATGCATATTGATATTGAACAAAATCAAGTTAGTATCTGATCATGCAAAAACCTAGTATAAGTGGAGATAAAATTGTGGCCAGAAAAAAATAATTTCCTGCACAAGGGTATTCCAAAATATCTGAAATTGCTGGAAGCACTGAAAAGTCATATGTTGAAGACTCATCCTAAAATTTATTCTTTGTTCTACCTAATGGAGCTTCCTAAAATTTTGAGTCTACGAGTTCTACCATGTAGAGCTCAGTATTAGTAATATGAGTGAGACTATGCAGTGTGATATCCTAAAAATCTTATCTTTTGCCATATGTAGGCTAAAAGCCTGGGACTTAATTTTTTGGGGTTATTTTTTGCAGTTGCTACTGGATGTTGACCAGAAAGTTGGAAGGGCTGACATCCTCCCACAGTAAGTTGTCACTGGTTTTCACTGCCAAAATTTTCATGATAATCATCAAAAATTTTACTAACAATTATCCCTGACTGTGCTTAATAGTAAAACAAGATGGAAAGAACATTTTCAAGAACAAATTGTTCATTTGTATGCAAACTACTTGTCCTGAATTTGTCAAAAACCTCTCGCTTTTGCCTTACACCCACGCCAGAGCAGTTCCAAAATATTGAGTTTCAGCACACTTAATTCTTATTGTTCCTGGCATGGGTTGTAGAAGAAAGGGATTCTGAGATTTCAAATCTTCTTGTGTGCAGCATAACAGTTGTTTACAACCTTACTGAACTGTATCAGTTAGCATCCTGCCTCATAAGAACATGCTTAGTACTGCTACATTTTAAGTACAATTTTACTCACTTTTTTAAATTAAGGAAGGATTAACAGATGACCTAACAGTTATTAGTAGTCCAAATAGTATGGCTGCTTCTTATTCTATTGCAATTCTAAGTGTTAATACATTATGATGCCAAATAAGTTTACACTTGAAATTCAGGAGTTCAAAGCTACTTCTGGCCTCAATAACTGTTCAAAGACTTTTGAATGTGAAGGTATTAATCAAAACTGGAATATAGTCAAAGGCAAATTAAATGCAAAAAGTTACAATTTTGAAAACAAGTTAGACAAAAGATGTTAAAAGGAGAACCTGAAGAAGCAATAAAATATGACTGGAATATATAGATTAAATAAGAATGTTGAAACAGTTTTGTGAGATTCTCAGGAGAAAATTGAGTTATGCTTGCTTTTGGTTTTGCTGATGATGATGGTAGGAAGCAAAGGAGTGCAAGTGATTAAGGCATTATTGTAATACTTTAAGTAACTTGGATCATTTCCTGACAACTTTAAGCCTTAGGGAAAAAAAGTAGCTGTAAGTATCTGTTTTCAAGCCACCATCTGTGACATCGTACTTCTTAATAACAGAGTCTTTAAAGAGCCAGAATTTTTGCAAACCTCTTCTCTAAACAAAGGTTAGAGATTTCTTTACTTGGAAAGCAGAACTAAAACGTTGGGGTATTTTTGGCATTGGTTTTATGTTTGGAATTTCAGTTAATCTGGGTATCACCCAATGTGGCACTCAAGTCTTATCTTACCAGTGTTTGAATGTCCTTGACTTTATGGAAGTGAGTGGAAAGTCCATCTCTCTGACTCTTGCGGAGAATCACACCAGGGCTTTAGGCTATGTTTTCCTGGCTATTATGAATGTGCATTGAATAGAGGCTTTTCTTCCATCTGATGCATGTAAGGTGATGAAGAATCCCAGCCAGGATGCCTGTGGGGTTGACTCTCCTCTCCAGCACCCACACAAGGGCTGGAAATAAAGCGGTTGAAGTCACCCTGTAGCTGGAGTTGCCAAGGCTTTGTCTACCCTGTTTCTGAAGAAAAGTCAAAACAGAGGCTGGTATTTTTTTACTTTTTTGTGACCACTTGATGTGCAGTTCCCGACTTCAGAGATAAGTGTCATGTAATGGTGCTTCCAGTAACAGCGGTCAGATATTTCTGTATGACTACAGTTTTAACTGTCAGCTGGAAGTAGTTTAATAGACCTAATAAATATGACCATTGTCCTTATTCTGGCTTTCCTTAATGATGCTAACTGTAACTTTGCATTTTTATGTACCAGAATAATAAAATGTTAGTCATATTTTTCTCAGTTTGACTGCTCAAAGAAAGTGGATGTGCGTATCTGCCTGTCTCTGTGTATACTGTATCAAAATAGATTTTCAAAGTGGTAATGTGAAAGATACAAGTAGAGACTTCAGGGATTGGCTGTAGACTTAATCATATGTCTCATGTTGAAAGAGAATTACTTGGCTGAATTTGTCTCAAAGATATTTTGGCAGCTTTTCATTTGTGTCTTTTGCCAGTAACAGACATCAAAATAAGTGCAAAGATCTTTTTTCCCCTAAACTGCCAAATTAAAACATTTTCTGTCAGTTCCTTCCAGTTCATTGCTCTTTCACAGAATCATAAAGTAACCAACTATGTGAACAAAAAAACAGGTCTGATAAGTATTTGTGTTGGGCTTTTTTCAATCAGAACTTCATGGAGATGTGTTGGAAGGGACCTTAAGAGGTCATCTAATCTACGCTCCTGCTCTGTATTGAATCAGTTACACAGTGTTACTGGCAGACATTTGTCTAATGTTCATTAAAAAGAGCCATTACAGGGGTTTCCTCAACCTCACTGAGTAACCTGTTCAAATACTCTTCTTCAAATAAGAATGTTTTTCCCATTATTTAAATTAAATATTTTTGCATGCAAATGCACTGCTTACTTCTTTCCTTACCACCATTACATATCACGAACTGTTGATTACTCTTTTAATAATAAATTGATTTGACTTTTTTTGACATTACTGTTCTATCTCATTTGTTTAATTCTGTTGATTGCCTCAGTAGCTATATATATATAACAATAGTCTTGTTGGTATAGAGTTTGACTCTATAGTGGGTCACCTGTAGTGAATACAGATCTTTGCCAGTGAATCTGATGCCACATTATATGCATATATATATATATATATATATATATGTATATATATATATATATATATATACACACATATATATTTATAAAAGAGAAAGATAGAGACACTAAAGTTCTAAGGGGGCAGCCTGTAATAAGTGCAACTATTTGGGAAATATATTTCAAATTGTCAGAAATCATGAGGTACATACAATATATATTTACATAGTTGATATTTTTACTTTGCATTTGCTGTGAATATATATATATATATATATATATATATATGTACACACACATATACAAAATACCTCAGTGTGGGCAAGAATAGTACAAAATTATGAATAAACTAAGAATACCAAAATTCATTTCATATCCAGAAAGAGCTTCTGTGTCTTTAGGATAGTCACATTCTGCCTAGTGACAATGGCAGAGAAATGTGGATCATCTTCAGGCTAATTATATCATAGTCCAACATTGTCTTTATGTGTAAGACACAAAAGCATACAAAGACACATGTACACACAAAAAAAATCACACACCACTTGTGCTTCTGAGCTTCTAAAACAGAAACAGAGGAATACTATGAAAAATATGTGCTTCGGTTTGGTTCAGATTTTTTAACCAATGATCTTTGAGCAGGTTCACATTTTTTCCCATACAGTTCAACCAACCATCATCAAAATGAGTAGTAATGAAAAGAACTGCAATATCAAAAAAAAAAAAAGAAGCTTTGAAAGACCTTATAGTTCTGAAACATTTGATCCAACACATGTTGTCCACAGGCCTTCTTAAAGAGATTTCCAAAAGGGGAAATATATCCTTCTAGTTCCAAATACAAATCTGGAAAAAAGGTCAGAAGGGGAGCAAGCACCCTCATAAAAACTAGAACATTTGGGTCATTTTCCCACAAAATGATGTATTTTCAAAGTCTACCACTCATTTTCTGGCTTCTAGTTTTTATCTTCTTTGGTATTTCATAGCATTTTTTCTTTCACGTAACGTGTAAAAAAAATAGTGTTCCATGTCTTAACAAATGAAAGACTTGTAAGATTTCATCATTGGTACTGTTCCATACTCATCATTTGTATAGGATTAACACGCTCAGAAGCACAGAGATACTGAGTTACAGTTTCATCCTCCATAAAAGAGACCACATTTTTATTCAGGGAAAAAGTAGTATCAAAGTACTTTCTAGTTCTTTGCATGCACTTGTTTAAAGAAACTTTTTCTCTCTTTCCTTTTCCCTATATGCCTCCTCTGCTCACCAACCTAAGAGAAAATGTTGCTTTGATTAACTTGTCTGTGTAATGTTGTAAGTCTGTTCTCTAAAAGATCTGTTTGGACTCAAACTTGTAAAAATTTTTTAGAACATTGTCCAATGATCCAATCAGTCCAAAATAACAATGTCACAGGCAATTCTTTTTTGGGTTTTTTTTTTTGTGTTTAATGCCATGGCCTGAATTTACAAATCCAATCTTCCTCAATATGTATCTGTACAGAATGAAAAGAACTTTGATAGTTTAAAATGATTGCCTTGTTAAAAACCTTGCTGTCTCCTCATTTGATCATCACCTTCGAAAGCATTTTAGAATGTGACAAATGTGAAAAAGTATGTCAGAGAGGGGCAAGCTGTAGGCAGCATTTGAATACCGGGGGATCTGCCATATTTCTCTATCAACACATTGGCTTAATGAAAAAATGAATGAATTCTTATCCATTGATTTTTTTTTTTTCACTATTTATAAATTGAAGGGAGAGTCTGAGATCATGTCCTTACAACAGGATCATAAATGAAACCTGTCCACAGGTTCTTATTAAAGATGCATCCACATTTTCATTTTAATTCACTTTATTTCTGGACTTTTATTACTAAACACTCTTTATCTTTAAAATGCCTGAACTATAGTTTTTGCCCATTTCAATACATCCATGTTTCTTCCTGCCTGTACTTTTCCTAATATAAGGTGGTTAACAAAGGAATAAGAGTATAAAATATTAGGTCTCTAGAAAGAAGATTGCAGAGTATATAGTGTAAATATCCCAGCATATGTAGTGTGTCAGTTGATGAGGAGAAAGGGCCATTGTTTTAGAACAAAGCCTTTTACCCTGGAGGGAGCTCTGTTAGGTACACTATGGTTTGTATGAATGAATGGAAGTCGATAACAGAGCCCTGCTTCTGCCTCTTTAAAACACAGCTACAGAGTAGAGAGACACCTGTGTCTATCTTCCTTCTCCTGCCCATGGAGTACTCAGAAGTGAGGGCAGTGGGGAAGCTCTCAGGGCTGAGATGGCACTGAAACCTGGGCGCTTTGCATCACATCCTGACAGCCACACAAACTAATGGGTGAAAATTTACCTGGAAGCAGTCGAGTTACAACTTGTTGGAAGAAAAGAAAAATAGGTTGGCTGAAGATGCTTCCTAAATAAAAGAACTGCAAAGCTCATGGCACATTTTAGAGGTACTTTCACTAGCATGATTGAAATGAGAAAAATTACTTTGGAAGCTGTACTTGCAAACTAGAAGGGAGTATATCCATGTAAATGTACTGGCTGATAGCATTTATAAAGGATCTGAAGCGGGTATGTGCAAACACTTATAATGTCAGATTCTGCATACTAGAGAGTTTCCATGTTAATTTTATTAAGCTTTATTCTTAGTTACAGTCATGGTTTGACACTGGCCAAATGCCAGGCACCCACAAAAGCTGCCTACTCACCCTCCCCTGCTATAGCTGGGCAGAGGAGAGAAAAATTTAAACAAAGGGTTCATGAGTTAAGGACCAGGAGAAAACATTCCAAGAGCAAAACAAGCTCAACTTAGAGGTATAAAGTGAATTTATTACTAACAATATCGAAGGAGGATAATGAGAAGTAAAATAAGCCTTTAAAAAAACACCTTTTCTTCCCCCAACCCCTCCCTTCTTTCTACCAGCAGCACAGGGAGGCAGGGAATGGGGGTTTGATCAGTTGTCATCCAAGGTCATTCTGCTGCTGAAGGAGTCCTGCCCCTGTGAGACCATGGAGTGTCTCCCATGGGAGACAGTTCTCCGTGAACTTCTCCAGCATGGCTCCAAACCTCCTGAGCAGTGGTCCTGCCAAAACTGCTGCAATATGAGTCCCTCCCATGGCCACACAGTCCTCTCCAAACTACTGTAGCTTGGGTCACTCTTCCACAGGGTGCAGTCCTCCAAGGACAGGCTGCTCCAGCCTGGAAGCAAGGCCCCCCCCTCTCTCCACTGGATCTCCCACTGGATCACAGCACCCTCCAGGCATCCACCTGCTCTGGCGTGGGCACCTTCCCCAAGGGCTGGTGGATGTCTGTGCCCCCATATGCCCACAGGCTGTGGGTGGATCCTTGTCCCCCCCGTGGATCCGCACAGGCTGTGGGTGGATCTCTGCACCCCCTGGGATCTCCATGGGCTGCAGGGGCACAGCTGCTTCACCATGGTCTCACCACGGCCTACAGGGGAATCTTTGCTCCAGCACCTGAAGCACCTCCTGTCCCTCCTTCTCCACTGACTTGGGCGTCTCCATGTTGTTTCCTTCACATGTTCTCATCTCCTTTTCTTCTCTGGCTGGAATTCAAACTGACCAACCACCTTTGTTTTGACTTCTTATATATATTATCACAGAGTCATTACTATAATCTCTAATTGGCCCAGCTTTGGCCAGCAGCATGTCCATCTTCACAGCTATCACGGATTGCCTGTGCCAGACATGGTAGAAGCTTCTAGCAGCTTCCCACACCAGACTGTGTAAAACCAACACAATTACTAAGATGGAACAAATCCTAATACATAATCTTAAATGCAACTAGGCAAAATGTGGCTATGACTTGCTAGGCTTTACTCATAGCTTAAACAGTAAGAGTTTAAATGAGCTAAAAATATAATCAAAGGGAAGAGAAAGATATCACCAAGAATAATCTATCTCATGTTGTAAAATTAAAATCTAGAATTTAAGGGACATAAACTGCTTTGATTTGGTACTATCTAACGTATTCTAAAGTATTTATAGTGCCTATGGACAAAAAAAGGGTGCATTTAGAACTGCACATCAGTCTTCACTTAGAAGTGCTTTATTTTGTCTAAGTCACACCCTAACATAATTGTAACATAGCATTTGAAGTTAATTATACCACATCTAGGAAACACCCTGGATTTTACTGCAAGGCTGAATGTGCCAAAGGTTTGGGTGCTTCCACTGCCAGCAGCAGTAAGAAAGTCCAGCCTCTTGTAAAACAGGATAAAACAAGATTTTTTATAGATATAGTGAAAATTTACATATATTCATGAGTCAGTGGGATGAGTCACAAAAACTATGTTTTCACTTGAGAGGAAGCAACTTTAACCCATTTTACTGAGTTTTAGACAGGTCAGTGAAATTTTTTTTTGTTGTAACTAGTTTTATGTTACTTTCTTCCTGCTTCTCTTCTACATACCTTGTGAATAAAGATTGCACATTCTCAGGGTTCATTTAGATTTGGAAAATTCACATCTCAGACAGAAAAGTGATTAGAAGATCTCTTTCAGCTCAAAGAAAAGTAATATTTTTAGGAGGAGAAACAAACTAGTATAAAATAGAAAAATTGTTGTTACAGAACAAATATAAACTTAGAAGTTATAGTTTTGTTAGTTCGAAAAGATCTGACACCTACCTTCTCTAACTGCTTCTTAAGATACTCATCAGCGTGACACTTTTTCCATGAATAGGGAATGAAGTGGCTTAAATTGTAATATGCTCTGAAAATTTAGGACTGGTATTTCAGGTTCCCAAAAAATTCTGGTGCATTCAAGACCCTTAGTGTGATCCTCTAAAGAAAGTTCTGTAAGGATCTGATTGTTATTTACTCTCTAGTTTTGGCAGTGTTCTAGACTAATAG